CTTTATTTATTTCTTCCATGAGAGAAAGGCACCCCGAACTGGGTCCCCATTCCCCATGCTGCAATGCATCCCCAACTTCAGCCATCCCCAAATCATGGGCATACACATACCAGGCATGTTCAGGGAGGTCTCTAGATGTGAACCTATGATAGAAATGACCCACGTGGGCCATCCCTGCCACTGTCTGGCCGTGTGCCGGTCTTTTTGCATGTTGTCCTCTCTCTCCCTGGGACACCTGGGTCTCTCCCAAGGACGCCGTGCTGAGTAAATCCTCTGCTTATTCCCCCGGAAGCTGACCGCAGCAGCACAAGCTCCTTACTTTTGGCTTCTCCCAAAACCCTGTTCTTGTATCCTTGGTGGGGAGAAACTCTGTTGTCTCGGTTTTGCTAAGCAAGCCTCTACCCTTCCTTGTCACAGTCATCTGTTGGCTTCAAGGTCGCTCCCCAACATTTCCTGAAGTTCTCTGGCCTCTTCCAACTTCCCACATCCTCTGGAGCTCTTCATGTCCGACACACCAGGCTTGTGGGCATTGGATCAGGTTCTGTAATAGTGGTGCCTGGCTCACTACTGCATTTCAGTGGCCATCCACTCAACTCTCTCACCCTCTCCTGTCCTGGAATTGCTTCCCTTTTGACTTTTTTTTTTTTTTTTTTTTTGGAGAGGTTTTTTCACTATAGGGCACACAGCGGGAGAGAGAGATAGCACCCCCCCCAATGGGAGTGGTGGTCATGTTGCAATACCTTCTTCTCCATTTCTTCATCCTGTAGGAATTTTGGAAATGCATGCACACATGCCTGTTTTTTCTTTTTTAAGAGAGAGATTTTTGTTATAGGGTGTGTGTGCTCACTGGATAGACAGAAACAGAGAGACAGAAAGCGAGAAATCACCCCCAGGGGGGATGGCCACATCACAATCCCTCCTCCTCCTTTCTCCTCTTGGTATTTTGGGCATGCATACACACGTAAGCTGCTGGGTCCAGGACTTAAACCGCTGGGAGTCCAGCAACATAACCATGACCCCATCTGCTGGTCCCCTGGTGTGTTTTTTTTAAGCCACTGAGGCTGGGATTCAAAAGACTGTTGGCCATGTGGGATCCTGCTCCCTTAACCACTAAGCTATGGACCTCTCCCCAGGTTTTGAACTCCAGCTCACACCTCATTCTCTGCTGCCTGCTCGCCCATCCTCTCAATCTCAGAGGCCCCAGGCTTTGGACCCTTCTCTTTCCTTTTCCCCAGTCCATCAGCACACTGCTGGTTTCAGTTTCTGTTCTTTGGGACTGGATCACTTGGGCACGCCTACAATGCCCTTTTTCCCTGCCCTCTATTTCCTTACCTTCTTTTCCTACTCTATTCAACCAGCAAACTCGGGGTTTTTCATTAATATCTCTAATTTTACTGTAGATATCTTGCAAAATTACAGGTGGACACCACTACACAGTTATGGTTTCTGAACTCCACTGGGCCTTCAATGACACCTGCTTAACTTACCCTTCTAGTGTCTCGGGCTTGTTATCGCAAGTTTTCATCACCTTCCTAAACCTCCCATCACACTTCAAACTCTTGTAGTGTCCATAGTTAGATTCTTTCTCCTTCAGTGGTTTCCTTCACCTGAATAATCTGTGTCCTTTCTCAGCACCAGGGAGCCTCTCTCTAAAGACTGTAAAAGTCACTCCTGAAGCCTTCCTTCCCGCCCCGGCGCCGCGTTTCTAATACTCGGCGGGCATTGTCCTATGGAATCTTATAGTTTCCAATAGACGTGCAGACCTCCGAGCAGACCACAGCTCCCCATAGGCAGGAGTCCCGAGTTCTTTCCCCCCGCCCGGGGCGCTCCTGCGGTTGGTGACGTACGGCAGGGGAATCACAGCGTTTGTGACGAGCGAGGCTCTTCACCAGGGTGAGGACTGGACCCGAGACTCAGACGGAGGGTCTCCGCTCGTCGGGCGGGCCGGGGTCTCCCCGGACCGCGGAGGTCGCGCCG